ATAAAATTGATCAACAAGACTCTCGTAGGGCACTTTCTGTTTTACTTGTGTGTGGAAAACACCCTTTTACCACAATTGAAGAACCTATTTTTGAGATTCTTTACACAATCTATAAACCCTAAGTTTAAGAGTGTGAATAGGCATACTGCTATAAGAGATACTAGCGGGGACCCATGCGATGCACGGGATTTGTTAAGCGAAAGCTAAATAATAGAAAGGGTCATTTACTAAAGTATCTCTTATAGTTTCGTGGATTTACTAAAATCTACCCTATAGTTTGTATTTTACTAAAACACCACTTATAATTTGCAATGGATTTAATCAATCTTCCATTAGATGACAAAGGAAAATGACAATGTTGACCCTAATGTTCATTTAAATAAATTGAATCAAAAGAAAATAAAAATAAAAAATCATGGGCCTAATGAGGAAACAAACACTCCTTAATGAAAGGTTGATTAAGTAAATAAGTTGTAAAATATATGGGATATTTTAGTAAAATGAAAACTATAAGGTAGGTTTAAGTAAATATRTAAAACTAWAAGRTGTGTTCTAGTAAMTGACCCTAATAGAAACACATAAGAGTATACAATTGTTTTATATTTTCAACTTTTTAAATAATCAATAATTATTCATATTTTATATATGACTTTTAATAATTTTTTATAATACAAAAATAACAATAATTAATTTCAGTTAGTTTTATTCATCAAATTGATGAAACCAACCAACCCGATTAATTCAACTCGAGTTGGTCGGTTTTCTAGTATTTTAAGTGGGCTTTGGTTCAAAAATTTCCCAACTCTACCAAGTTGGATTAGTTTCACTTTGGCCATTTGTAAACCGAACAAAATCGAACGACTTGACCTTGGATACATATTAATATTTTACATTTTAAATATAATTTTTAATATGGAAAATTGGAAAATTTCCCATATTTCTTAGTCTAAAATATTTTATATTATAAATTTAATTGTTATATTTATTTTCTAATAATAGAATTGTAATTTTTAAAATTTAAATCTAATTTTTAATTTTGAATCTTCTGAACTGACTGACCTTTAATTTTTAAACTTATTTTTACTAATTGCATTGTAATTTTTAAAACTTAAATCTAATTTTAAGTTTAAATCTTTTGAACTGACTGACTAAACCAAAAAATCAACCTAAACCGGTACAACCTGAGTGGGTCAGTTTTCACAAATGGTCACTTGATTTTAAATAACCAACTCCCAAACCGACCAAGTAAATTTGGTTGGCCAAACAGCCAATGACCGAACCGAACCAACTCGTGAACACTCAAAATTTTAATTGAATTAATAGCCTCATCTCTGATAAATAATAATACTTTAATCTCCAATAATTATTGAAAATTTATAGTGAAAATACACAATTATTAAAAAATATATTGATAATGAAAAATAAAATAATTACAAAAATTAATAAAAAATATAATAAGTACTAAAAATATATTAAATTAGTCAGTAAATAGTATAATCTCAAATAATAGTTTAATCTCTAATAAATATTAATCAATAAGTTATAACAAAAATATAATAAATACAATAAGTACAATAAACAAAATTTAAAAATTTCAATAATAGTAGTTTAATCACCAATAATTATTGAAATTTTTCTGTTAAATAACAAAACAAAAATAAATTTATACATAATTATTGAAAATAAATTTATCACAAAAAACAATAAATATTTACTGAAATACAATAAATATTAATTTTAGTATATATAATTATATAATAAATATAAATTAAGAGTATAAAATTATTATTTATAAATATTACTTTTTTATAGTTATTTTCTCGAATTATTAATTGATATAAGTGAACTTAGTTATTTTAAAGTTTACTACATAATTTCATTATTTTAACTATTTAAAATATAATTATGATAAATATTTTTTATTTAAAATATTTAGTTATTTAAACACTTAAATAATATCTTAATTATTTATTGAAGTTAATAGTCCAACAAATTAAAATTTATACATTTATTACATGATTTCATTATTAATTAAATATTAAATTATTATAAATTTCATTATTATGATATAATTATTTTTCTACTTTTAAGAAAATTTTTAAATTTATTTCACAATTTTGCTATTTTAACTATTTAGAATCTAGTTATGTTAAATATTTAGTTATTTAAATATTTAAATAATATGTAAAATATTTAACTTTTTTCTTATTTAATGAATTTAATAATCCATAAAATTATATTTCATACTATTAATACGTAATTTCATTATTAATTTCATAAGATATTAAATTATTATTAATTTCAATATTATGTTATAATTATTTTTCTACTTTTAAGAAACTTTTTAAATTGATTACATTATTTTGTTATTTTAACTATTTAAAATCTATTTCTTTAAATATTTAAGTAATATGTAAAATATTTAAACTTTTTTGTTATGTCAATTTTATTTATTTAAAGCTATTAAATATTATGAAATATTTTGTTATATAATTATTTAGATATTTATAATATTTTGACATTTAAGATATTTATTTATTAAAATATTTAAATAATATGTTATTTTTTAATATTAAATTTTTGTTATTTAAATAACATTTAAATTGATAATCCAAAAAAACAGAATTGTTAGTACATAAATTCGTGATATATTTTGTAAAAATATAAAATTATTTTTTGTGTTTTAATAAATATTCTAAAGTTATGAATTTATTATATAATTTTGTTAGAATATTTAAATAATTCTTAAATTTTTTAATCCAAACTTTCTTTAGATAGATATAGATAAAAAGTGGGGGAGAGAGAATAAATAGGAATTAGAGATAACTTAGGAGAGAAACTCTCTACCAAATTAGAAATTTTTTATGGAGATAAATAGGAATTAGAGATAATTTAGGAGAAAGTGGGGGAGGTAGTTTAGGAGAAATTTTAGGAAAAGAGATTAGTTAGGTTATTGGGAAAGTGCATCTCATTGCATGTTTTAAAAATGACATGGAATTAAAAAAAATCAAAAATCAAAAAAGGAGAAAATTTCTAAACTTCCTTATTTTAATATATATATATATATATATATATAACTATGTGAAAGAGAGAGAGGATGTGAAAGATGAATTGTCTCGTGCACTTGATAAGCTTGTTTAACATCTGATAATTAGAGATTTAAGCATACTGATGATGAATGCATGTGCATAATTGTTCATTGGATTGATAACAATTGGAAATTACAAAAAAGGATTATTCATTTTAAATCTTTGACACCTTCTTTTAATGTTTTCTTTAGCAAATGAGGTGGTTATGTGCTTAAGTGAATGGAATATTGATAAGAAAAATTTTAGTATCACATTGGATCAATGATTTAAAAACTGACTTGGAGGCCGAACCAATTTTGCTCCAAGTCACGGGTCACCGATTTGACCAACTAGGTTGAATGGTTCAGACCGTGCTATATATATGTATTAAATGTACACATATATGTGTATATGTGTTTATATATGTGTATAAATATATATTTTATCAATAAATAATGTATAAAATGTTTTAGATATGTTATATGTATTTTTATATTTAATTAATGTTTTTTAAATCAATTTTTATTTTTTTATTTATAAAAATATTATAAATTATCATTTTAGGCCAAAAAAGGGTTTTTTGTGAAAATAGTAAGACAAAGCTATGGCCTCCGATAACTTGCATACATTAAAAACTGAATTAAAGTTGCGGCCTCCAAAAGTTTGCATACATTAAAAAATCACCCCAGTCGGACATCGGATTGCAAAGTTATGGCTTCCAATAGTTTGCATACATTGAGTATGCAACCCGCAACCCAATGACTAGGTTGAACGGGTCAACGATCGAATTGGATAGGTCAAACAATTCTTGACCAAGTCAACGGTTTTTGACAGTCCGACGGGTCTTGACTGAACCAGACCTAGAATCTTTGTGGGTGATGGTTCAAGCGGTTCGACCAACCAAGTAAGCAACGGGTTGAAACACTACATTAGATAATATAAGTTATAATGATGTGATGGATAATTCTTTGAAATTCTGTGTGGTGGTGATTTTTTAAGATTTTTTGTTATAGCCATATTTTGAATCTTATTGTCAAGCTAGTTTGAGACTTGTTGATGATGTTGTTGCTAAAATTTCTAATGGTGTGAAATATATAAAGAAATCAATTGCTCGAAAGAACATATTTTATGAAATTGCTAAAAAAAAGTTTTCATTTGAACACCACCAAATGGTTAAGGATGGAAATGTGTGTGAGGTGGAATTCAACTTATTTGATGCTTGAGCATGCTAGAGGGATAACATTTTTAAAATGTTTGTACTTTTGGAAAAATAGTGGGGAAATGTTGTATAGGTATATAGTGGTCACTAAGACCATCAGAGTATAGAGGGTGTCAAACCAACACTACACAAATGACTAAAATGGATCCATAACTCATCGCACATTTGCGATGAATTCATAACTCATTGCACATCTACGATGAACTCATACCCGAAACAGGTTGCAATAAGATTTGGCCTACATAGATCTACGATAAATCTCAGACGTGTGTGAACTTGCGATGAGCTTTAGACACACAGACTCGTGATGAACTTTGAACATGTGTGGAATTATTGCATATTGGGAATAAATATCAAAAACACGTGCGTCTTTAAATTACGCGCGTGATGGGACGCCCCGTGGGCCTACTAAAGATGAACAATGTAAATAATGACATCACCCGTGCCACGTCGGTATTAAAAGGGACACGAATGGAAGAAACATACATGGATTATGAGAATCCTTAAGAGAAAGAAAAGCCTATCTCCAAAGGATCTCGTCGGATACGTGACGAAACCCCAACGATGCTCCCTTAATAGTCAATATAAAAATAAATATCCCATTTTCTAATAGAAAATGTCTCATTTTAGATCATTCTCCTTGTAACCTTAGGATTTTCGCTATATAAAGGGGAATAACTCTCACCTAAGGGAACGGGACAATATAACTTTGACCTAGGGTTTCTAACAATGACACTCTCCCTTCTTTCCTTTCTTCCTCCCTCTTCCCCACGTCCTCTCTCTCTTGGCCATTGCCTTATCCGAACAGCTTCACATTGGTGGGAGGAAGCGCTATTCACTTGTCTTTTCTCTTTCAACGAATAGAATGGCGCAACAACAGGGGTTTACGGCAGCAGGGAGTCTCTCGAACACCTTCTCTATCTCTTGTTTTGTTCTTTCTTCACCATGTTGCAGTGGTGAAATCGTTTTTTTACAGAACACCGCCCCCCACTACTATAACTCTTCCCGTCGCCACTACAATCTCTCTCTTTCTCTCTCTCTCCATCACTCGTCGTTTTCACTAACCCATCGAAGCAACTATTCGCTTATTCCTTCTTCTCGACACCGAACACAGCGGCAGCAGGGAACACCACAACGGCATTCCTTCTGAGTCTAAGCTAAGTTCGTGATTCAATAGCAATCAGTCCTACACCCGCTCCCTGCTACAATGATTAGCATCGCCCTATTAAATTCTTCCAAGCCGAAGCTTGTCTAGAGTTTCCCGTCTTCGTTCATCAATCATTCTTAGGCCAAAACCCAATCAAGGATTAAATTTTAGAGGCATTTCATCCGCCCACCTCCTGCGTCCTATAATTCCTTCCCAAACTAATACATTGGGCACGAGAGAGAGAAATCGGAATACTGTATGCTGGGGCTCTAATGCCAGAAATTCCATTACCGGTGGTTGGATCAGAAATTCCCTACAGACGTGCTTTCCACCAACTCTGGCATCCGCTACCACAGGATGATGGATCACCGCCTTTCTTGCATCTTCGTCTTTCTTGGCGATATTCTTAATCGAACGTGAGTCGGTGGTTTGAAATCATGAAAGAAGCTCAGGATCCCTTTTTTTTTGTTCTGTACGAGTTCTAGAACCGCTTTTCGATTAATCCCATAGGGATTACGCGCAAGGGAGATTTCCTTGAAAACCTTATTTTATGCGTTTCTTGATTCCCCTCTAGATCTCCCTACCTTCGTTTGGGAATAAGCATGTCAACGATTTGTATTCTCTATACAGGGTTAATCAGCAATTTACAGAGGAATGGTGAGCATAGGGTGATCCTTCTATAGATTTCACCACACAATTCATTGGTATTACCAGGGGAAACAGATCGAATTCCTATGCATCGGATTCTGCTTTCTTTTTCTTAATGGAAAATCTCATCTTCAGGTGCGTGGGCTCAGGTAAGAGAAAATCCCTCAGTATTTACAACCGAAATTTTCAATCTTTTGTGATTGGATTTCATAGATGATGTTGAAGTATTTCAATCGTATAAACTGACACGTATATATATTACCCTTTGTTCTGAGCTATAGCTATCATGATTTTGGCTCAAATAAATTTGTTCTTTCCTTTTTCAACTTGAATTAAAAAATATATATCTATACAAACACAATGAAAATGTGCCTAGCATCTCCCTGGTTTAAGGCAACACTTGAAGGCCACCCATAGACTTTTGAGTTGACCTGCTTGTTATTGACTAAAATCTTTGGATGAATCTGCTGGTTTGGATAGATAAATTATGGCTTACATACGCCTAATTCATGAGGTATATTGTTTTTCTTTACAAGACATTTACGGATAATGACATAAAAGATTAGACTTGTTTTCTGATTGGACTGAAATCTTTGAAACTGTTGCTTTATTTTTGCCAACCAAAAGTCAGATTGGACTTGTTTTCTGATTATCTTCATAAACGCTTGGGCCTCGTGATCGATCAATTTTCAAGTTTCTATACCTTTACTTAGGTCAATTGTTATGCATCTTCTGCATTCCAGGAAAAAAAATAAGGTTTTCAAAACATAGATCTTATTTTTTCACCTCGCATGATTTCAAATTTATTTAGAGAAAAAACGGGTTTTAAAATATCTTGCAACTTGCTAACATGTTTCTTGCAGTATCATAGGGAAGTTTTAACTTTTAAGCAACAAGCACTAATCAACAACATAGCCCACTCATTACAGGCCTAGTTTACTAGGCCTGGGCACCGCCTCTAGGCTGACACCCCGATTGTAATAAGCCCTGGCAACCCTAGGAGCTCGTCACTCAAACCCTGACTGGTTCTAGGATGTCGCATGTTCCATGTGAAGTCCCTGGCAACCCCAGGCACACTCATACCTTGGTCGGTTCCAGAATGCCACGGCCGGTTCCGCGATGTCGTGACTAGTTCCACGATGTCGCATGCTCCATACAAAGATCTTGGCAACCCCAAGCGCACTCACACATACTTTGGTTGATTCCAGGATGCCACGGCTGGTTCTACAGTGTCATGGCCGGTTCCACAATGTCGCATGCTCCATGTGAAGGCCCTCGCAACCCTAGGAGCGCTCACACATACCTTGGTCAGTTCCAAGATGTCGCGGCCGGTTCCGCGATGCCATGGCCAATTTCACGATGCTGCATGTTCCATGTGAAGGTTCTGGCAACCCCAGGCACACATATACATACCCTAACCGGTTTCGGGATGTCGTGGCCGGTTCCACAATGCCGTAGGCTCCATGCAAAGTCCCTGGCAACCCCAAGCATGATGACTCCTTCACACATTGTGACGCTTTACACTTGTATTATAGTACTTAATCCCTTCATTATGACTAGCCCTACCTTTTACATGCGATGCAATCTTACTCTTCTTATGGGATGAAATTTAATTTTCTTTATTTGCGATGATATTTACCTCTCATATACGATGACATTTAATTTTTTTCAAATGTGATGACACTTAGCTATCTCGATTGCATTAAAGCAATTTGGCAAATACCAAAGACCTCGGAAACCTCGAGGACGATGGAAGAGATTGCTAAATAGACAAGACAATAGGCATGACAATCAAACTCAATACTTAGCATTAGTATAATCAAGTGCAATGACATGTCCTGACTGGATCATGAAAGATTTGATAAATCCCAACCATACTAATGGATCTTGGAAAAGGAAAACCCATAGCAAACCCAAGGGAGATGGAACACCACAAACACTTAGTACTCCAAGTCGCAATGACATAACTAAATAAAACAACAACAATCCAAAAGAACTTCGTATGCACACCCCATATCACTACAAATTCAAATAAATGATCTGCGATATTATCAAGAATACCAGTATGTTGCTCAAATCACATCCACATTAGCATGTTCCAAAATCTCGCAGAATAAATGGGGGGCTTTCCTCCGTGCCATATTCTCTCTACAAGATGCTTTACTATCAATGCCTTCTATTGAGTGTTTCTCGATAGAAGACATTCTATCAAGATGCTAGACAATGTATGCCCTTAGCTCCAATCAAATTGATGTACTTTTTGACATTTATTGTAAATGAATAATAGTATATAATTGATTCATGTTATATATGGTGTGTTTCTGTGTAATACCGTTAAATTGAACACTTATGAAACTCGTGTTAGTTTAAAATCTTCACAGTTGATGGTGCGCAATCTAATCACTCCTACCTGGCAGCGGTTGCACTCCTCACTGGCGACGAATGAGATACTTGTGAAGAAGAAGAAGGATCCCCGGGGACTCTCCCGGCGGGAATACTCCGATGCTTAAGTTAGTAGCATGAAGATAGTTGTAGAGCAGAGCAAAATGAAAGGGCTAGAGTGCATATCACGCAAGTTCCCTTTGCTCTTGGGGGTCGGAGCTCTTATATACTGATTTCCTAACAAATCTGTTATAACCACCTCTGATTCTCTACCACAGCCGTTACTTGCCAGGGCTGACCTGGTGGGCGCGAGTAACTGTTGCAGAGTACAGCCCTGCCAGACAAGGGACACCTCTCAGGGTTGGCAGGCATGATGCCGCCTGGCAAGAGATGTGGGCGCAATCTCCAGATTTGGCAGGTACGGTTGTCAGGCAGGAGATCTTCTTGTGATATGCCGAGCTGCTCTTTTCCGAGCTACCTTATGCCGAGGTGCTTCTACCCGAGGTGGCCTACTTGAGTTTGGTCGGGCGAGTTTATTCTTAAGAGGCTCCCGAGCTCAACCCGAAGTGTCTTGAGCTCGGGAGATTTCCATCTTGGAAGAATCTTAGCTCGGGGTATTTCCTACTTGGAAGAATCTTAGCTTGGGGTAATCAGAGTGTCATCTTGTAGCGAGCTGCCACGTTGGATCTTGGCGGACTGGTCGCGTTGAGTGGGGGCCAATTGCCCCCCACTCCCCGAGCCAGGGGTCCTGACCAGGTGAGGGGAGTTCACGATGTGACGGGTGGATTTGGCCCGAAGTTTAGGCCGCCCCGTCAGATAGTTCGTCGGTCGGACCAGTTCGCTACTCGGCTTAATCAAGGATAACCCGGGTTGCGTGCAGTTCATGCGCGGACGTCACGCGATCTATAGACTCCACGGACATCACGTGATTTATAGACTTTGCGGACGTCAAAAAATGTGCTAAACTGATTTCACCTCGGGGGTCGTGCAGCTGGTTTTCTTGAGAGCCGTTAGATCGTCTTGATCTCAACCATTGAATCTCGGACATAGCGGCTATAAATAGGGGGGACCCCAATCATTTTCTCCGCCATAAGTTCACCATCGTTCGTCTTGAAGTTGCGGCTAAGTTCCTCAGCCTGGGTTTCCCAGTTCGTCAGTCTTCCTAGCTCGGTCAATTTCCCTTGGTGAGTCCCTTTAGTCTCTCCTTTTCAGTTCATAGTTCACTTCTCTTTTTTATTCATTTTCAACTCGTAGCTATGTCAAACCATAGCTTCGACAGTCTCTTAGATGAGCCCGAGGTGGGTGCCCCGGCTCAAGTAGGTGCCTCCAAGGCACAGTTAGTCTACGAGGTACGGAAGACCTCGGATAACTCGGCGTCCACCTCTCATCGAGGTCGAGTACCGGACAAGTTTGGCCCTTCAACTATGACAGACATACTTAGGGCCCTAATAGTTCGGTATAACCTTCCTAGGGAGCATACCTACCACCTTCCTGTGGGCGACTTCCCTTGGGAACATGGTCACGACAAGATCGTGATTTTCGGGGAATAGCTCGTGGCCGAACTCCGCCTTCCACTACACCCCCTAATTATTTAAGTGTTAAATCACTTCGACGTCACTATAGATCAACTCCACCGGAACTCTATCTGGAACGTGGTCAGTACCATTTCCCCCTGTTTTGACTACACCCTTCCTCCTGACCTCGACATTTTCTCCTCCATCCTCTCCATAAAGAAGAATGCCTCTAGCGTTCTCCCTGAGCACAGGCGGACCTACTACCTGTCCCCTGCCCAGGCTTCAAGTTGTTACACGAGCTTCCCAACAAAATCCCGGCCTGGAAACGGGATTACTTTGTAGTTTGCAACCCCTGCGGGGTGGCCTTTCCCTACTCACTCGAGGTTGGTCGTTCAGGACTCTGGCATTATGCTGGACCGAGATACAAGGGAGACACTCCAGTCTTGGGCGGAGCTCGGCTTCGACTACAAGGACTACCTTGCCGAGGACAAGCTCATTCAAGTCGGTCTGAGTCCTGGTAGGTCGCCTTTTTTTAGAGTTAGTACTTCACCTCAGTAGCTGGCACTTTTTGGTAGCATCACTGAAGTCAAGCTTTGTCGCAGGACCCATGGAGCAACTTAGTGCAGAAAGGCACTTTGGAAAGATGAAATGAAGGAAGAAGCGAGCTGCTAAGAGAGCTCGCATTGAACCTCCACGGGCTCCTACTCCCGAGCTCAAACAGCCTGCTGATGCTCCTCTGGTGATTGACTTGGAGGAGTCGGAGAACCTCCCACCTCGGGAGCACGAGACGATTGCGGAGCCCGTTCCCGAGAAAACTGTGGAGCCCACCCCCGAGACCACTGTAGAGCCCGCTCCCGTGCCCGAGACTACCTTAGGGATAGAAGGAACAACTCGGAGCATCCTGAACTCGAGCAGCTACCCACTGCATGGTGGTAAGTCTTGTTTAAACTTCAAATTTTGCATTTGTAGCCTTACTAATGCTAATTGGCATTCTTGGCAGGTGAACAACACCGTGCATGCCCTGACCTACCAGTCTGAGCAGCACTTAAAGTGAACTCTGCCTGTCGAAGACTCAGCCCGCACGGCTCACACCGATCTGAAGCTAGCTCGCAGTCAAATCCACCGGTTTGAGAGCGATGCCATAGCTCAGAAAAACTACATTCAGGCACTGATGTCGGAGAAGGAGGGATGGTTGCAAGAGAAGGAGGAGCTATTGCGCAAGGTGGAAAACCTTGAGGCAGATAAGGGGGCTCTGAAGTGCAAGGTAGAGAACCTCGAAGTCAACGTCAAGGAGCGAACTGAGATTCTCCTTGGCGCCATGGAGGAGGCCAAAGTCAAGGTTGTCCAAGACTACGTCAAATCGGAGGAGTTCAACGGGGTGTTGGTGGAGGCCTACCGCAAAGGCTTCAAGCTCAACAAGTGGTTGATAAAGAGCTAATTCCTGCATCTTGATGTAAGCGCCATCACCACCTCGTGAATCACGGGAGAGGTAGCCCTGCAAGCCGCTGAAGACCCGAACTCTGAGGAGGAGGGCGACGAAGACATCGGGGAGGCTGATGCTACCGACCAGGCTGGCACTTCTGTGGAGGCTCCGAGAATGATAAGTCCCTTAATTAGTTCGAGTGGTCCTTTTACTTTGAGCCTGCGAGCTCAGTTTTTTCTTTCTTTTCTTCCCCCTTTGTAACAAACATTTTGTAATGAAATATATCTTTGTAATGAAAATACCCTTTGCTAAGTGTTGTGCAATTTACTTTATTTGCCGAAGTGATTATTTTACCCCGAACTGTTAAGCTATCGAGCTAAGTACCCGAAGTGGGGGTTTCTTGATTGTCGTCACCCCGAACTGTCTCCCAGTGCTTAGTAGGGGTAATCTTATGTACGTCGAGGTGAGCAACATAGTAGCGTATATGCCCGACCTGTCTGCACCCGGGTTACTTAAGTTGACATCGGTTGTCCCTAACGGGTTCAACCTATTGTATGCCGGGGTGGGTTATGCATCATAAGGTTCGTACCCGAACTGCCTGCGCCTTAGGCATTACAAGTACTTAGCCTATGCTGATGACGTGACTAGGTCTTATACAGTGTCGAGGTCTTTCGTTAGTTCGGCGTTTTTAGCCCTTAGGCTGGGAGAGCGACTTATAGTCCGCTCTCCTAGAGTTCACCCATGCCGAAGAGGCAACGAGGTCTTATAGTGTCGAGGTCCTTCGTTAGCTCAGCGTTTTGGCCCTTAGGAGGGGGGAGCGACTTATAGTCCACTCTCCTAGAGTTCGCCCATGCCGAAGAGGCAACTGGGTCTTATAGTGCCGAGGTCCTTTGTTAGCTCGGCGTTTTGGCCCTTAGGTTGGGGGGCAACTTATAGTCCACTCAGCTCGGTGATTACAAGTAATATTGCCTTAGATTGACAATATTCTATGCCCGATGTATTTGCTTCCCTTCTAGGGTTTCAAGCTCATACGTTCCTTCCTGAGCACCCGCTTTACACGGTAGGGTCCTTCCCAATTTGGCCCAAGCTTACCAACACCGGGTTCAGATACCATGACATTACGAAGAACCATGTCTCCAACGTGGAGGTTCCGCTTCTTGACCCTGGCGTTATAGTACCGAGCTATTCTCTACTGGTAGGTCGCGGTCCTCATGTATGTGAGGTCTCGTACCTCGTCAAGTAGGTCGAGGTTGGTGCGTAGCTCGTCTTCGTTTGCTTCGTCATCGTACACTTCCAGACGTAGCGTGGGAACCTCGATCTCGGCTGGGATGACTGCCTCGGTG